GGGCCACTGCGTATCCGAACCGGCCACTTTGGAGCCAAATCAGGCCAAAACAGGTTCAAACGGGCTTAGGAAGACCAAACGGCCCTATACAGACCGAAAATAAGTCTAGCCAAATAGGATCAAGCAGATAGATTTATGCTGGGACGGCCCAAACTGGTCATTTTAGGTTGAACAGGCCAGGTTGGGCTGGGTCGGACCAATCGGACCGAGTCGGGCTGAATCAAGCTGGATATAACGGATCGATCAGAGCTGGATCAATTCTAGTCCGGCTCAAACTGAAACCATGTCTCTCTGTCATCACCTTGATTAGGCAGATGTATGATGCGGAAACTCTTTCCTATAGTTTGTTCTTCGGTATGTTTTTCTGATGACACTTGTTTTTTTGGAACTAGAAAAATGAAATAACATCCCTTCCGCAACATCTAATGACTATGTAAGCTTATAATGAGCATTTTTAAAAATCAGAAAAGCTCATTTTTCATAGAACAGACATTTTTTGAAAAATAATGTATAGCTCCGTTCTGGAGAATTGAGCTTTTTCGAAAAAAACAGCTCGTTTCCGAAAAAATTGATTTTCCATTTTTTCAGAACGCCGTCATTTTGTGAAAACCAGAATTTATTTCAACGATTTTTTCAAATCTTAGAAGATCCCAACCATCTTGTTTCTTACAGAACCTTCTTATTATGATGAACACTTCCTACTTTTCCACTCCGGATTTTCTTTCTCTCACATTTCACACTTTTTCTATCGTCGAATCGCCTATTCATCTCCTCGGCGGTTACTGTATCCTATTCAAAACTCCAGAATCTATGAAATCCGTGAAATGGACAATGTTCAATTTACACTTTTGGAGTGTTTTATTGGATATGGGTTTCAGTGTGTTCACTTGTCCATTTATGATTTTACCGGCCATGTCAGGGTTCCCATTGGGTCTGGATGTATGGCTAGGTGTGCCAATTGTTGTAGCAGTGTATGTGTTGATCACTTTGTATTCCAGTGAGTTACACCCTTGAAGAAGGATTGAAGTCACATTTTCCATACTTGTGAAACTTCGGCCCGGCCCGGCAAGGCCCGGACAAAATTTAGAAATACTTTTTTTCAATTTCTCAAATTTCGCGGTAGTCTTCCGAGCTGGGCCGGGTCCTGGGAATTGGTTGAAAGGCCTGTCCCGGCCCGTCACAAGTATGCAAAAATGTGAATTCAGTCCAAGGTTTCAAATACTTTTCCTTTTTTCTCCAGTTGTCGGAATTTCTATAGTTGTGATTTTTGAAAATCGTTACTTCCTCCTGTTTGCGTGCAACACTTCCTGGAAATATCTCCGATATCCATTTATAATTATTGATTATTTTCTGGCACTTATATGTTTTATCCCACCACTGTTACAAGTTCCAGATCAAAAACTAGCTATTGAAGCCTTAGAATTGGTGAGATTTCTTTTGCTGCAGATTTTGAGCATGCGTCACGTAGTCAAAAATTACTCTAAGGCTCCAGAAGATTGTTGGGTGTAGTTGACAACGTTTTTGTACTACCAACTCCCCGAAAGATGAGACTCAATTAACGAAGGGCTCTAGATGAAATCTCCATCTGCCAGGAAAGTAGTGATGAAGTTTCAGCAATTTTTGATAAGCATTACGTTTTTTGGAGCCGTAGGGAATCATTCGGTTGCGTGAAGAATTCTCAAAATCAGCCAGAATTTTTTCCAGAAATTCCCCCAAATCCCTGTCCACTACTACTCAATTCTGTATTTGTGATGTCACTTGAACATCGATATATTTTGTTATCAATGTCTTCTATCAGTTTTTTAATTGTATTGGAGACGGTTGTATTTGGTTACTTGCTATCAAAAAATTTGAAGAAAAACACTGAAAAAATATTTGTATCCCCGAAAACGTTCGAACTGCAAAGAAAGTTTTTGAGAGCGATTGTGATACAGGTAAGCTTATTTCCGGCTTAAAAACGGTTTTTTTCCGGCCTAAAAACGGCCTAATATCAGATCTTGACTCCAGTCCTTGTCCTTTTCGTCCCTGCAATCTACTTCATTTTTTCGATTACTCAAAACTATTATAGTCAAACTGCAAACAATTTCTTCATTTTTACAATTTCTCTTCATGGATTCACCTCTACAATAGTAATGTTGTATATCATGAGCCCTATCGAACATATTGCTCAGAACTGTTTTGTGGGAGATTCTTACCTAAAACGGAAGTTGAAGCAACCGTGTTTTCTCAGCAGTGAAGGCTCTCTAATGAATGCGTCACAGGAAAGAAATAACAAGATGTATACATACATGTAAAGATTTCTCATTCGAAATGAACATTTCCTACTTTTCCACCCCGGAATTTCTCTCTAAAACCTTCCATATCTGCTCGATTATCGAATTACCTGTACATATATTTGCAACCTATTGTATCTTATATAAAACTCCTAAATCAATGAATTCAGTGAAATTAACCGTGTTAAATTTACATTTTTGGTGTGTTCTAATGGATTTTTCCATGAGTTTTTTGATATGCCCATTTCTGTTCATCCCAGCATGGGCTGGATTTACAATGGGGGCTCTGAATTGGGTCGGAGTGCTAATGGAAGTGCAGCAGTACCTGTTGATGACCGTGTTTGCAAGTAAGTTTCGAATCGATTGGATTAAATTTTGGTGTTTATTGAAGGTCTTGGCACCGCGATTTTTTCAATGTTTGAAAATCGTTACTACGTACTTTTTGGCGAGAACTCATGGTGGAAGGTTGTGCGACGTGTATGGTTAGCACTGAACTACGTTTTGGGATTCGCAGTGTTTGTCCCTTTGGGTTTACAAATTCCCGATCAAGAATACGCTTTGATGGTTGTTCAGAAGGTAAGAGTTTAGAGCCTAATCTGTCCATTATGCTCGTCTTTTCCAGTTTTCAATTGAAGCTCTGAGAAGTTCTTTGAAGAACCAGGGGTCTAACACAATCAGCAAAAAGCCTGGTTCCTAAATTGAATAATGCTTTAGGATCGCTAGTCTCGATGCTGCTTTTCTGGCATGCTTACGCTACAGCTTGCGATGTGACGCTATTAACTAACTGCATTTTTCAGCGATACCCTAATATCCCGTTCTCCAATTACCCTTTTTCTATTTTCATTGGAACTTTGGACCATCGTTATATCCTATACCCCGTTATCCTGATGCAATCATTGAGTCTTCCTCAGATCCTTTTCTTCCAGTTTTTGGTGTTTGTGAATGTGAAACAACTGAAAGGAAAGTTATCCAAGAAAAACTATGAACTGCAACACAAATTCTTTCGAGCCGTTACAATTCAGGTATTTCGGGTTGTGTTCAGCCCACTCATAGTTAGATTTTTTCAGATTATCTGCCCTGTCCTAATTCTGAGTATTCCAATTCTCCACTTTATTCTAGCACTGACAACTGACCATTATAATCAAGCATTCAACAATTTATCTGTGGCTTCGACATCACTCCACGGTTGGATTACTTCGATAATTATGATTTTTATTCATGAACCATACCGGAAATATTTTTTTATTAGGTTGAGTCCAAAGTCTTGCACCAAAATTGATTTTTTGTTCTAGAAAGTTCTGGAATTTTCTGGAATTTTCCTGAACATTATATTATGGTAGCACATTCTAGAAACTTCCATCTGTAGAATATATAAGCGCGCAGCTCTTCCCGCTAGACAAGTATGTCAACACTAAGTAAAGAACAACTTCGAGCTATTGTCTACTACGAATTCCTCCAAGGCCACAGTGTCGCCGAAGCAACTGCCAATATCCACGCTGCGTTCAAGAAAGATGTACTAAGTCGATGGACAGTCAATCGATTCTTCAATCGTTTCCAGTCCGGAGATATTTCGTTCGAAGATCAACCTCGTTCTGGACGCCCATCTGTTCTGAATGATGATGATATCCGTGAAGCCCTCAAATGCAATCCGGACGCCAGCACACGTGAATTGTCAATGAAGCTTGCCTGTTGTCAAACCAACATTGTTCGACATCTTGAGGCTCTTGGTTACAGAAAAGTTGTGTCGACATGGGTCCCTCACGAACTTTGCCCTTTTCAGTTGGCAGCAAGGGTAAGTGTCTCTCAGTCATTGCTGCTCCGTCCGCACAGGAAGGATTTGTTCCGGCAACTGGTTACTGGTGATGAAAGCTGGGTTCTGTATGTCAATCATACACGAAAGAAATCTTGGCTCCCTCGCGGAGAACCACCACTAAAAGAGCCAAAGCCAAATCTTCACGAAAAGAAGGTATTGCTGTGCTGTTGGTGGGATATGAAAGGAATGTTATACTGGGAACTGTTGCCATTGGGTCATACGGTTACTGCTCAAGTATATGCATCTCAACTTCAGAAGTTGGCCGAAAAAATTGGGGAGAAAAGAGGAAAAAGAGTTCAAACTACCCTACTCCATGATAACGCAAGACCGCACGTGGCTAAGTTGACTCAAGCAAAAATCGACGAACTGGGCTGGGAAGTTCTCCCTCACCCTCCTTATTCTCCGGACTTGGCTCCCTCCGACTACCACTTGTTCCGTGCTCTGAAGGCTCATCTGCGTGAAAAACGATTCAACGACCAGAGTGAACTGCAAACTGACATCGCACAATTCTTTGATGCGCAGCCGCCAGAGTTCTGGGCTGCTGGTGTTGAGAGTCTAGTAGATCGTTGGACTTATGTTGTTGATCATGATGGCGAATATGTTGTAGACTGATATTGGTTTAAAATGAAGTTTTTAAAAAAATTTGGAAACTGTGTTCTTGGTGCAAAACTTTAGACTCAACCTAATAGTTTGTTTTTGAAATAAAAAGAGTTTCCTTGATAAAGGGTGTATTTTTTGTGATTGTCATTATGATTTATATTTGTAAAACTTATCGAAAATATTGTTATGGTTTGGTTTTCACGGTTTCGGTTGCAAAAGATCATATAAAAATCTGTCCATGTCCTGCTTTCTTGGCGGCCGCCTCCCCCCACCCCACTGTTACCTGTAGGGCAAGAGTACCTCTGCGCTTTTGTGGCCTTGTGGCCTAATGGATAAGGCGTCTGACTTCTAATCAGAAGATTGCAGGTTCGAGCCCTGCCTGGGTCAAATCTTTTTGTTTTTCTTTTAATTTTCCAGCAGGGTCTCAGAATACCATCTAGTCTTATCTCCCACCTTCTAGGCTACATTGCGAAGATCACGAACACCATTAATTATAATGGTGCTTTAATTATAATGATGCTGTCATCGGTAGGCTTGTTTTGCTTTTTGCTTTTTCTCGTTAGTCAAAAAAACCAGCCTAGTCATTTCTTGACAGCACAAAAACTTACTAATTTCCAATGAATTTTTTCGCCACCCCAGAATTTGTTTCCACAGCTTCTAGTGTTTTCACATGTTTCGAAATACCTATAAACTTATTTGGAGCGTACTGTATTCTATTCAAAACTCCGAATTCCATGAAGTCTGTGAAATGGGCAATTCTAAACTTACATTTGTGGAGTTCTCTGATGGATTTCTCGTGGAGTGTCTTGACACGCTTCACAGTTTTGCTCCCTGCTTTTTCTGGAACTACTAATGGACTTTTGTTGAAACTTGGAGTTGATCCGATTGTACAGTTATATTTCATCATCTGCTTGTATGCAAGTGAGTTTTTTTTTGGCTCCGCGTTATTTTGCGAAACGTCATAGTTTTGAAATTTCGCGGAGCCTTTTTTCAGTTGAACTATGAAACTTCAAAAAAAAGTTTTAGTTGTCAGTGTGAGTATAGTTGCGGTATACGAAAACCGATACTTTATACTTTTCTCGCAAAACACTTACTGGAAGTCTTGCCGATGGCCATTCTTGGCTATCAATATTTCTCTTGTAGTTATATTTTTCATTCCGCTGCTCTACGAAAATCCATCTTCAGAAGTTGCAATACAGTATTTTCAAAAGGTTCGGACTCCTTCAAGAAGTATTTTTCAACACCCCGAAGTTTTAGGAGTTCCCAGAAATCCCATTTACCTTATATCAAAAAGGATTGTTCGCTGTCAAATTTGACCGCAGTTTTGTGCAGTGCTCATTGTTCTTTTATGGTATACTGTTGATTGCAGAAGTTTTTGTTTTCAGTTTCTCATTGTATAGAAACTTGAAAAAGTGTTCATCTGGAGTGAAGGTGTCATCAAGAACCTATGAAATGCAGAAGAAGTTTCTAATTGCCGTGGTGCTCCAGGTACATAGTGTCCAAAATACGAGACTTATCTGAGTTAATAAAGGAATTTCAGATATCTATACCATTTATCCTGCTAGTTGGTCCTGCCCTACACTTTAATATATCTATTTTAACCTTACATTACAATCAAGTCTTGAACAATTTATCAGTTATCTCTTCTATATACTAAAGGAATAGCTCTGTGTGTCTGTGTGTGTGTCCAGCACTTATCACTGAATAACTTTTGAGCCCCTCGACTGTTTTCTACCATATTTGGCATGTAGTCATGGGTCACCGAGCGCTTCAATTCTATAAAGTTTGGAGCACGGGTTACTGTAGGGATACGGTAGCTACAGTAACCAGATAACTCAGCAATAGCTAGAAAACGGGTTCGATGTGCTCAGAATTGTTCCATTTTTTGCATGTACTACCTAATGGACCCCAATCGTACACCATCAAAAAATGGTGGAGATTACTGTAGGATTACGGTAGTTACGGTACTCCGAAAACTCAACTGGCAAGCTCTAGATGGATAGCCTTCCAGAACATTCTCCTTCTTTCCAGAAACTTCTAGAAACTTCTAGAATCTTCCAGAATCTTTCAGAACTTTCAAAAGCTTCTAGAAAGTTCTAGAAATTTCCAGGGACTTCTAAAAAGTTCTATAAACTTCCAGAAACTTCTAGAATATTCCAGAACTTCCAGAACTTCCAGAAACGTCAAAACATTTGATTATTTCGGCGGGAATTAAAATTGTCAACATTTTTGGCGGGAATTCAAGTTTTCAAAAAATTGGCGGGAACTCAAAAATTCGAAAAGTTTGGCGGAAGGTCAAATTTTGGAGAATTTGGCACGAATTCGAATTTTCAAAATTTATGGCGGTAGCTCAACTTTCCAAAGTGTATCAATTAAGAAGGAGGATTAGGTGCATCCCTGTCCAACTATTAAAAATGAGTTTGAGCATGGCAAATTAACCCCCCCCCCCCCCCCCCATTGAGGAGCGCAGCGACGAACAAAAAGGAGGTGAGCCGCCGTAGGCGGCGCCACCGACTGGTTTTTGTATCTATGCATAGATGGGTCTCCACTATCATAATGCTGTTGATTCATGAACCGTATAGGAACTTTTGTTTGAGTTGTGTTGGAACTCAGAAGAAGTTTTGAAGTTGTTCGTTTGCTTTGGTTTCGTGTTGGTTTTGGGGTTCGTACATAAGAGTACTACATGTTGAGAGCACTATATCTCAGTTGATTTCAGAGTTCTCAAAAAGTTTTCAACTAATAATTTGTTTGAAATTGATTGATAAATGTTTCTTTAGTTGACCACAGTTTCAAATTTTCAATGACAACCGAAATAAGCTGCTCTGAACACGTAGTACCTTATTTATAGGCCTTATGACAAGGCTGTCAAAATGGCAGTCGCGGTCTACGCGGTTTGAAGCCGTGGAAAGCTGTATAAGGCCGTAGTCAGCGGTGATGTTATGAACGTACTAAACTTTGCTTTTTCTACCAGGGCAACTAGACAGTTGTTACTCCCGAGCAGCGGAATAATGAAATCCAGAAACCCGATTTCGGCCGCGGCCGCCATTTTGAAAGCCTTGCTTTACGGTAGATAATCAAGACATTGAAGTGAAGTGTGTCCGTGATTTGTCGTGAAGTTTGATGTCATGTTTTTGTTTTTCAGTCTGATTTCTTTTTCTTCCGTATATCAGAACACCTTAGATTAATGAGAGGGTTACCTCGGAACTGGAAATTATGATGATGATGACACAACCCAGTCTTGTTTTTCTTCCTTTTCTCTTATTTTTCAAAATCTACTTACTTTTCCACAACATCATCACACACAATGTTTTTCTTCTCCGATTCCGAGCTTGTTTCCCGATCTCTCCATCTACTCACACTCCTAGAAATCCCAATTTACCTCATCGGTTTCTACTGTATCCTATTCAAAACTCCAAAATCCATGAAATCTGTGAAATGGTGCTTGTTCAACTTGCACTTCTGGAGTGTCTTCCTGGATTTATTGCTGAGTATTCTAGTTTGTCCAGTTCTAATTGCACCTGTGATTGCTCTATATTGCCAAGGACTACTTAATGTCATAGGGGTTCCATTAGTGGTTCAGGTGTACATGTTGGTCACAGTTTTTCTAGGTTGAAAAATTTTAGTAACCTAGATGCACTGCTCTGGACCTACAGTACTAGGTGTACATCCATTATAGATTTTACTGTAACTAACGAACAAAATTTTCAGTGGTCGGTGGAAGTGTAGTTTCAATTGTGGAGAACCGTTACTTCATAATTTTTGCCAGGGAATCTCGATGGAAAAGTATTAGACATCCATTTTTATTTTTGAATTATGTGATGGTGTTCACTTGCTATATCCCATTGCTTTTTCATCTTCCAGACTTGGATTATGCAGTTAGATACATAAATGAGGTAAGGGCCATATTTATCTTAGCTGGTTCGCAACCACGACATTTCGGAACTTTGCACTTGGCCTAGATATTGAGGTGTCTCCTGAGTCGGTTTTCACGAGTTACAAAGTGTCTTAGTTGCCGAATGTTGTAGTTGCGGATCGACAAGTTTACAGACCTACCCCTCCATCCCTCTCTCCTCATTCTCTGGCCCTCTTCTAGTGATCACCCTTGACAACTTCTACATGTTCATCACCGTTTTCATTGCTGCATTCACTTTCGTCGCGGAAGTCACTGTCTTCAACACACTCCTCCTTTACAGAATGAGAAATCAAACTCATCGTACCCAACTTTCCTCGAAGACCTATGAGATGCAGAAGAAGTTCTTGATTGCGATCTTCGGACAGATCTCCATTCCAACTGTACTCCTTCTTGTTCCAACTGTATACGTCGAATTCTCGGCTCTTTACGGTTTTAGTGGTCCCTAGCTTTTTTACTGGTCCCATGTTGGGACCAGTGGTCCCAAAACGGGGACACTGGTCCCATGGCAAAATCACTGGTCCCATGGGATGCGACCAGTCATGGAACACTGGTCCCAAAAAAAGCACTGATTTTAAGAGGATCATCTTGGGACCACTGGTCCCAACATGGAAAACTAGTCAAAACATTGAAAACGTGGTACTGGGAATGCCTTCAAAGCCCAGTTCAAGTGCTGCTTCTGGGGATTTCTGCTAGAAAGCCTTCAAAATCCCGTTCACGTGCTACTGCTGTGGATCTTGAAGCATCAACCTCTCCTGCCAGAAAGCTTTCAAAGTCCCGCTCACGTGCTACGTTGCGCGTTCCAAGAAAAAACAAAAAAAATAAAAATAAAAACTTTCCGAGTACCACGTTTTCGATGTTTCAATTAGTTTTCCATCTTGGGACCAGTGGTCCCAAGATAATTCTCTTAAAATCAGTGTTTTTTTTTTGGGACCAGTGTTCCATGACTGGTCCCATCCCATGGGACCAGTAATTTTGCCATGGGACCAGTGTCCCCGTTTTGGGACCACTGGTCCCAACATGGGACCAGTAAAAAAGCTAGGGACCACTAAAACCGTAAAGAGCCGAATTCTCTATTGTTTCTGGTTATTATAACCAAGGTTTTGATAACATCGCAGTGGCTTTGATTGCTGTTCATGGATGGGTTTCTACTATTGTTATGTTGTTTATTCATGAGCCTTATAGGAATTTTTGTTCAAGTCTGTTTTTCTGTAAGAAGCTAAGGAAGTCTATGATTTCTGTTAGTGTTTTTTCTTAAATATAAGATAAACTGTTTTTATTTATTTATTTTATTTACGATCTTCATGATCGTGAGAAAGAAAAAAACACAATGATACAATGCAAAAAAATCACAGTAGTATAACCGAAGCGGAAATAATCAAATCAATCAGTTCTACGGCACCCTCCTCCGGTTCCTCCAGAGCTTATTTTGCTTATTATTTCATTCTGCGCTCCTTTCCAAGTTTTCCAATCTTCT